TTACAGCATTTTCTGCGTTTTTTCATTGCTCCCGCAAAAGACGTCAAAACGCAAACATGCTGTAATTTACAGCATTTTGTGACTTTCGAAAAGCGAAAAATCGTCCGAAAAATGTGTCAAAACGGCGCTTTTTCCCGATTTTAGGTACCCTCAAAACGGGGGGGGTGGGAATGCTCTTGGAGACGCTTATGAGCGACCCGGATCCCGGCCAAAAAGCTCTCCCCCACCCTCCTGAAGGATTTTTGGTGTTTTTCGGGGCCCGGCGTCGGAGGGTCGGCGGTTGGGGGCGCGCCTCACCTTAGAGCTCTAGTCGCTCTGGGACGCTCGTAGGGCAAGCCACTCGTGGGGAGCCGGCGGAGCCGAATTTAAGGGCTGCCGCCCCTGCCGCCGACCCCGGAAGAAGTGGCAACGAATCAAAGCAAATGGGCATAAATATTCTTCGGTGCTTCGCACTTTCAGGTCTTCCCCCTTTATCCTACGAATATTTTTGTGAAATATATTTGATAGGTTTGAATGAAATATAGTTTATCAAATAGTTTGCTCTATATCCTAATATTTTTTTTTGCTAGGGGGGCAGGGCAATACTTGAAACAACTCGACAGGTTGATCAGGATGACAGCTTTCATATTTATATATATATATATCTCTCTCTCTATTATTTTTGGCCCTATTATTATACAGATAGTGTTGCGCCGCACAGGTGCATGGTTGCGCCGCACAGGTGCATGATATTTTATCAAAGTATACGGGGCCCTTGTTTTTAGATCCCCCACTTTGTTTTTTAAACCCCTGACCTCTTTCTGCTGTTCTGCCGTTTTGCTTTTGTGCTTCTTTGTTTGTTTGTTTGTGTTTCTGCTTTTCAGCCTTTTGCTTTTGTTGCTTCTTTGCTTGTATACTTCTCTGCTTCTCTGCTTTTGTGCCTTTTGCGTTGCTTGCTTTTTGCTTTTCCTGCTTCTTTGTTCTTCATGCTTCTCTGCTTGACCTGCTTCTTTTCTTTTCTGCTTCTTTGCTTTTCTGCTTATGCCTTTCTACTTCTACTAGTACTATTCCACCTTTTCTTTTCATCAGTCATGCGTTTTTGCAGTTCTACTTTTTGTATCCGCATTGCAAATTGATAAAATTATTATATACAGGAATGATTGCAAACTGATAAAACGATGATGCACAGGAATAATTGCAAATTGATAAAATTATGATGCACCGGAATGATTACAAAGCAATAAACCTATGATACACAGGAACAATTGCAAATTGATAAAACTATGATGCACAGGAATAATTGCAAATTGAGAAAACTATGATACACAGGAAGCATTGCAAATTAACCAAATTATGATACACAGGAATCATTAGATGTACAGGAACAATTGCAAATTGATAAACGTATGATGCACAGGAATAATTGTAAATTGCAAATTGATAAAAGTATGATGCACAGGAATTATTGCAAATTGATTAAACGATGATGCACAGGAATTATTGCAGACTGATCAAACGATGATGCACAGGAATGATTGCAAATTGATCCAACTATGATGCACAGGAATGATTGCAAATTGATAAAACTATGATGCATAGGAATGATTGCAAACTGATAAAACTATGATGCACAGGAATAAGTGCAACTTGATAAAGCTATGAGGCACAGGAATCATTGCAAATTGATAAAATTATGATGCACAGGAATGATTACAAATTAATAAACCTATGCACAGGAATCATTGCACATTGATAAAAATTATGATTCACAAGTACACAGAAATAATTGCAAATTGATAAACTATGATGCACAGGAATGATTGCAAATTGATAATTGATAAAACCTTGATGCACATAGTGTAAATCCTAACGCACCAACATTCATTTTGTTACACATTCAACAAGAAAGAAGGTACTCAAAAAGTCGACTTTTTAGGGACCTCCAATTCAGGTTATGACATGAGGTTGTCACCGCAGCAACAAACAGCCTCGTTGAAAGTATAGAAATTACAAAAAAGAAGAAAAATTATCAAATGGGAACCCCCCCCGGGGGGGGGGGGGAGGTTCCCATTTGCAAGTTTTTGCGAAGAGGTTCCCAGTGACAAGCTTGGATTGGCAGGAGCCACTGGTACTCTGATCAATCACCACATCCAAATAATGACTATACATCTGTAAATATGTAGATGTATATATGTATGTAGAGACCATTATACGGTCAGTCTTTGTATGAAAAGAGATTGATGACACAATATAGGCAATTCACCCGAAAAAGTTGAAGGACTGCAACTTGATTGCAAATTGATAAAACTACGATGCACAGGAATCATTGCACATTGATAAAATTATGATACACAGGAATGATTGCAAATGGATAAAACTATGATACACAGGAATAATTGCAAATTGATAAAACTATGATGCACAGGAATGATTGCAAATTGATAATTGATAAAACCTTGATGCACATAGTGTAAATCCTAACGCGCCAACATTCATTTTGTTACACATTCAAGAAGAAAGAAGCATGAGATTGTCACCTAAAATCAGATGAAATTTCAAACGAAAGAAGATACTCAAAAAATCGACTTTTTAGGGACCGCCAATTCAGGTTATGACATGAGGTTGTCACCACAGCAACAAACAGCCTTGTTGAAAGTATAGAAATTACAAAAAAGAAGCAAAATTATCAAATGGGAACCCCCCCCCCTGTGATTTATTTTTGTTTACGTGTCTTCACAATGCATTCATGCATGTTGACATGTATACTTAATTCATATCTCTCATGCGAACTCCGCATGGCTCAAGACTAGCAGCAATTCCGCGTGTACAAAAAAGAGTGTAGTCGCTTCAGCTTGCCACAGGTGTTTACTTAGGTTTCCAGGGCTCCCCTAATAGAGGGAAAAGCTACCTCAAAGTGGTAGCGGAGCCTGTGCCTTCGCCAAGTCTAGATCTGTGTGCCGAACTGCTGTTCTCTGCATACATTCCGTATATCGGACTTGCGGAGGCAACCTGTAGGTCAAGTTAGAGTAGCTGCCATGGTCTTAATCCACAACATGGATTCAGATGAAGAACAACTCCAGATTGTCTCTTATGAAGAGCCTGAAGCATATGCCGCCACCAGTCATTCCGAAAACCGGATGGGCATCAAAATGACACCAAAGGTTCCACCCCAATTTGATGGCCAATCAAGCTGGTTTGAATATGAAGA